CACTTTACTTACTCCCTCTATGTCAACATCTGCCGCTCACTCTTTGAAAAAGACAAGCTGCTCTTCTCCTTCTGCCTGAATGTAAATCTTCTGAAGCACGACGCATTGGTTAGTGCTGCTAAAAACACATTACTGGATGGGATTTTTGCATAATGGGGTACCATATATCTGATACTCCAGTTTTCCCCCAAATATTTCTTAAGCTCTGAATTCCAGCAGGAAAGGGCAAAAATGGTCAGAATTGCTTGTTTACTTTTAAAGAAACTGGAGCAGCCCCTTGGCCCCTTCCTGCCCTATTCATACATTTCCTAACAAACTTTCTCTATCCTCATTCCATCCTGCCATTCTCTCGGTTCATTGCCCTGTTGCTCCATCTCCTTCAGTTCTTCCCTTCTGCTTGCATCTAACCTTGTATTCCTCCCTAACGTGCCCCTTTGCTGCTTGCTTGTTTTCTCCCGCTTGTCCTAATTCAGCCTTCACCGGCACCAGATCAGATCCCCCTTTTCTCTCCAAACAATGATCTTTCCCTCTTTATCCCAGGATCCAACCTCCTCTGCTTCTCTCCCTCATTCCAAAATCCGGTCCAGCATCAAGCCCTCTGCTCTTCCTTATCTTGCAGCTTTCCTCCATTACTACTACTATAGGGGATGGGCCATGGATGGGACAAGGCTCAGAAGGTACCCACAGGGAGAGTATGTGATGGGTGTATCACTGGGTGGGGTGTGTGTTTATATTTCTATGTGTGTATGAATGTGGTTGATTTTTTTATTGGGGACACTCAGTTATGGGGGACCTTCAGGTTTAACTTCCCACTTGACCATGGGGTTGCTTGGTGAGTTTGGTAAGTTAGTCATGTTCTCTCAAACCTACTTATCTCAGGGGCTTGATAAAAGTCTTCCTTTCTCCCCACATAAACTGCCTTAAGCTCCCAGGAAAAGGCAAGATACAAAAGGAAAAAAAAAACTTTTTGAATACAAGTGGTAAGGCAACCAATTCACCAAAATGTTCCCTTTCTAAAAATACCTCAATCAGTTAAAGTGATGTATTGTTAAGCATTTTGTCTCCTCTATTTTCTGGAAATATTTCGTTGAAATATGAATCTAAACATAACAAGTGATTTGCGGACAAGCAAGCTTTTATGAAGGACAGTGGAATAAGATAAGATGGTCTTTACCTGAGTAACAGTTCCTCAGGCAAGAACGAACTCTGTTTTTAAAGACAGCTTCACCAAAATATTTCCTTATCAACAGAGACTGTGTCAGAGAAGGTAATTACAACATTAAAACTCATGATGCCCTGGGACTTCAGAACATTTGGACCCTAGGGATAATTTTAAAATGATGCATATCTTTGCAGATCAACATTAACATTGGGGTCCTCCTGGATGATTGGTCCTTGCAGCTATGCTGAAAGACCAGACCAGAATCCCTAGTTTTACAGATTTGGAAGGATTTGATTTGATCTCTCCCTTGTCACCTCAGATTCAAAATGGCTGTCTTCTGACCATAAAAGGGCATTGGTAGAGTAACCAACAGTTCCCATTTCCAGTAATTTGCAGGGTTGCACTCAGAACACCTTGAAACTTGAATCCTTGCATCTTACTATACTCTTCTTCATTTGAGTTCAGTTGGTAGCATTGCCCAAGGAAAAACTGAGAGAAGAAATAGTTCTTCTCTTCCCTTTACTTATTCTCTTTCAATATTTGCATGATTGTCCAGGATAGACATTAGGACATGAGGCCTGGGGGTAAGTAATCAGCTTCCAATCAGATGCAACTTTTAACAAATTTGAAAAAATACAGTCTCTGAACTTTTGGCTGCATAAAACAACTGCATTTTGCATTTCAAAGTTTCATGTAATTTATTTTGTTTGCAATCATTGCAGATTAATGAGGATGAGTGGAAGTTTCTGTTAACAGGCGGGATAGGCCTGGACAATCCTTATTCTAATCCCTGCCCCTGGCTTCCTCAGAAATCATGGGATGAAATCTGCCGCCTGGATGATTTGCCAGTGTTCAGAAGTATTCGAAAGGAATTTATACGCTTGAAGGAAGGATGGAAAACTGTATATGATAGTTTGGTAGGACTGTAATTATCTGGTTACATTCCTCCTTATTTAAATAAGCATTCATCTCTGCTTCAGCATTAAACCCTCCCATATGTATATTTATTTTTGTATTCTAAACTATGTTTATAAGAACAATCATTACTTTTATAATTATTGGTAATTTTAATTGAAAAATATCAACTTTTAAATTACTAGGAAAAATTCAAAACAGTTCACATACTGTTGTTTTTTTATTGTAGATCCAGCCTTGCTGTGGTTTGTTTTTTTTACTTCTGATATGCTTTTATCATTTATTTTATTGTTTCCATTTTAGAATTATTTTTAATGAAAAGCAGGCTATATATTGATGCAGGTTTTCAAGGCCAGCATCAATCTAATGGAGATGTGCTTCAGGGCTAGTAGGTTAAGGACTGCTATTTGATATTCTGATATTTTGCTGTAGCTGGTATGTTCAGGGATAAAGTGATAGCAATGTAACATATTTTTCAGAAGCTCACATGCAACTGAATAGGATCTGACAGAGCTTTTGTGTTTGTAGCAGAACCAATTGCTAATTGGACCATCTTATCATATTTCTGGAAAACCAATTTCTGGCTGGTTCTATATCTAGGTGAATTTTAAATTCCAAAGGAGCTAATTTTTATTGCTCTCTTTTTGAAACATTCACATTTGAGAGATTGTTGTTGCTTCTACTCAAAATGTCAAACTCATGTTGTCACGGCATCGTCATGTGACATATTGGGACTTTTTTCCCCTTTGCTAAAATGTGGGTGAGCATGGCCAGTGTGTGATGCATCTGGCCCATGGGCCAGGAATTTGACAGTCCTGTTCTACATGGCTTTGGTTAATTAAAGCCTGTTTTATTTTAAGTCACTATAAAGCTGGAAACCAGACTGTGTTAACCTTCAGATTCTCTTTCTTCTTGTTAAAGTTATTGGAATATTTATAAATCTCAATGGCTTCTCTGGGCACTCAAGCTTTATTATTATTAATTGGATATTAATGAGAAGTGCTTGATGAACCCAGTCTGATGAAGTATTGCTTTGTCCAAATTGATCACAGCTCAGTTTTTTGCTGGGTGGGCAGCTGTAGACACTGGAATAAGTTCTGGAACTTTCTGAGGGTAATACATTTGCTGTGCTTCTAAGTAGTAGAGTTAGAGAGTATGCTTGAATGATTCAAAATCCACTACTTACCATGGAACAGAATAGGGAAAAGCCATTTCTTGAGGTCTAGCAAAATTGCTAGATGCGGGGCAATAAACATGACTACACACAAAGTATGTCTTACTCCTATATTAGCTACTTCATTGAAGATATACAGTAATCCTGTTGCGATTAGGACCACAGTATGTGGAGAGGAAGTGGACTGCTCCCCCTCCAGTTCCTTTATTTGCCTCCATGTATGTGCTAGGTTTTAAATAGCATCTATTGGTTCCACTGAAGCATCACCTACTTTAGCTCTCAATTTAAAATGGGTTCATATGTTCAGGTGAGGCTATTAGGTTGGTATGTTTTTAAATAGAATACAGAGACAGACTGGGGAATGACTTAGTTTCATGACAGAGCACACTTCCTTTGAGGCAAGAGAGTTCATGTTTTGACCCCCGCTGTGTCAAATAAATTAGAATTAAAAACCAGGTAAATGTGAATGACCCTTCCATTAATGTTAGTTGCAGATGATTGGAAACCTTCCATTCTGAAAGAAGCAAGAGGAGGAAGCTTCTGCAGAAACATTTTTGAGAAGCCACCCCAGAAAACGGGGAGCAGAGCTGTCATCATTCCATTGACAATAGTTCCAATGTCATTGAGACATAGGATCATGGTTTAATAACTGCTGATTAATCACACTTTTGGATAGGCAAATTGTTTGCTAATGGTCCAGAATAAATTATTGGACAATTGTTTCATTGGGAGTTAATGACTGAGAAATAGCTGGAGATTTCCATGAACTGTTTTGAATGAATTTCCTAAGAAGCTAGCCATATTAATCTTCTGTAGCGAAATATTTTTTCTGGCACCTTAAGCAGCAGATAATTATCACCCGAGTTTTCATGAACTATAGCTCATTTTAAAAAAGTGAAGTTTCAACTTAAATTGGAAATGTGCATGCAGTCAAATAAACACATGCATGCATACTTGTATGTGTGAGGCTGAAGGTAGGACTGTAAAAAATGATTCATTTGGATTCATATGGATAGTTCTCAACTTATGACCTTTTGACAGTCTTACTCCTCACACAACAGTCACAGCACCCTCGTGGTCACATGACTGTAGAGCGGCGTGCTTAGTGACCAGCATGTATGTTGATTGTATGTCAGTTGCAGTGTCCAGGAATCATAAAATTGCGTTTGGCAACCTTAATGAGTATAGCAAAAAAAGTCATAAAATTGGGCAGTTAATGGCCACACAACTTAGTAACAGACATTCCTGTTCCAATTGCGGCCATAAGTCAAGAACTATCTACATCCTGACTTGAACTTTCTATGATATGAAGCTGAATCTTTTGAAGATTTTCTATTTGGTTGTTTGACATTATAATCTCCCCTTGCAATTTTTTTTGCTCAAGAATTGTCTGTGTTTTCAGAATCCTCACCATGAGGAATTCCCTGAGGAGTGGCAAAATAAACTAGAAGGGTTCCAGAGGATGCTAATCATTCGTTGTCTGAGACCTGACAAAGTAAGTAGGATCAGCTGGTTTAACAAATGTATGTTAGACAGCGCTATCTAAAAGGGTAGCTTAAAAAGGGTAGCTGTGTCTTTTTAAAAATCTACGATGGAAGTAGCCAATGCTGGAATAGTTGGGGGAAGAATCTTTGCTTGTGGTGGGTAAATACTTTACTATTGGATGCATCTCTCTCTTCCTATTACATCAGAGAATGGAAAAAGGGACAAGAACTTTCCAGACACAGAAACACTGATTGCCTTACATTACTATGATGCTTATTTGTTTTGATGATTCTAGGTAAATACTCTGTGCTTGTTTTTTTTATACATACAGTGGCCTTTGACAAACTTTATAGACATTTCCAATGGATCATTTAACAGTTTCTTAACTGCCTCTCCCCTTCCCTAATTCACACAGGTTACTTCTAGACTATTTTATGTAAAAGTATTGCTGTCTTCAGTTTTATAGGAGTCAGATAATAGATTAAAAAAAATGAATAGCACATATATTAATAAAATCATTTTTTCATATTTGTTCATGAAGGAACACTATTGTGACACACAAGTTCTTAAATAGGGAAACTCATCATACCTTGTTGTGTGATGCCAAAGCAACATATTGGAGAGTTGGCATTACACTGAGAATTGTATTTATGCATATTATTTATAACATATATTATTGAATAAATTTGGATAGCTGTTGAAAATAAATCCCTCTTAGTCTGTCCAAAACCCTTTATTTAAAATTCTATCTTTTTATTATCCAAACAAAATATCTCAGTTTAGCGGATTACTTCCATAAGTCAGAATTATTTCAGTCTGTCTTCCTTCTGGCTTTATGCAGAACAAGCATTACACACAATAAAAGCATCAGGAATATAAATGGCTAGCCAAAGATTCCATTTATGTCATATTAGCTAGTATTACAGGCCAGGCCTTTGTTCACATTTCGGTAGCCTTTACCTCTGACCGTGCTTGTCATCACAAGAGACTGTCAGCTGCAATCCATTCTCTTCTATTTGTTGGCTGGTACACAATTTTCTTTTGTTGCAAACGGCAGAAGTCTCCGCTTCTGGAGTGTACTGGTATTTATTCATGAAATGATCCACAAGACGTTTCCTTGTTAGAGCTGCTTCTTTTTCAAAGGTGTTTATTATACTTCGGCCTGTTTTGCACTTGAAAACAAGTGGAGAATTCAGTTAGCCACAATTTTTGGTTGATAGACAGCATGAACAACTACAAGGGATACTGCAGAATATATTAATAGCTTTCCTTTTTCAAAGAAAGTATCTACACCTTTGACAGTAATTGTTTCCAACCTCAATTGCTCATTTGGATCCACGCTCATAGCCCAGCATGATTTTAGGCTACTCTGAGGGGAGAAAAACTAAATCTTTGTCAATGCTTGTCAAAGAGAAAAAATAGGGAGAAAAACAGTAGCTGTCAGCAGCAGCAACAAAGTACCGTAGCTGTACGTCAGCAGCAACAAAGCAAGATTTTTAGAAACAAAGAGAAGCCACATTTCACACTGACCCATGAAAAAGATAAGTCTGCTAAGGAGTGGATGGGGTCAGGAGTTGCTTTAAGTTCATTATTAAGTTCAGATTGCTTAGGTCACTTCAGCTCTCCTGATATCAGTTCCATTACTTACAAGAAAATTTCTGACCCTTTCCATCTCTAGTTCATAGTATTCTTCTACTGTCAGATCATCAAAATTCTTCGAAAGGGACAAGAACCCACACGAGTCTTGGCTACGCTTGGAGTGCTCCAACCTGCCACGAAAAAAAGGCCATTGGCAAGAAGTAGAACAAGGCAGGAAAAGTAGGAGAAACTTTCTGGAACACAGCTTAGTACCACAGTTAGAAATGTAAATGTTTTCCATGTAAGCAGTTGCCCACCATTCATGTCTTCCAGCATGATTCAGTGACACAGTAATATTATGCAATAAGTTACTCAGTTATTTTCATCACATATACTTTTGTAAAGCAACAAGTAAATTAGGTTGGTTGAATTGTTTCCTCAGTGGGAGCTAAAAAAAAATAGTATGAAATTCCCTGAAAGGTGAACAGATACCCATCAGAAGTAATTCTGCTCCAGCCAAGAAATTGTTTTCTAACCTCCTCCACAAATGCCCGGACAACGTTCTTAGTCTGAGCTGCCTCAAGGCGGAAATCACCAATCGGACCATACATACCAGGGATCGTGATTGGACTCCCAGCCCTCCAACTCTATCAAGCAGAAGAAGCACTTGGCCACATCAAGTTCCTCTGTATGCAGATGATGGATGAAGCCAGCCTTGGCCATCTACATAAAAAGTGGATAAGGACACCTTGAAGACCCGAGAGAAAACTTTTGTGCTTCATGGGATATTGTTTGCTGTCAGCTGGATCTTTAACTAATGACTGTTCATACCATGAGGTTAAGCTATGTTTCCTTAAAGATTGAATTAGTCACAGGAGCCAGCCTAACATAATGTGCTAAGCTATGTGCGGATTGTTGGACTCTGGCTTATATCAGAGAGTTCTGCATAGTTCAGATTGCTTACCATTTAACTCATTTATACTGAAAAGTAAACTGTATCCGGAATTAATCTGCATGCCTGCAGATTCTATGCAATTCTGCTTAGGCTGCCTTACATTCCACCTTTTTCTCAACTATCAAACATGCCCCATTTGCAAGAGATCCCAGAGCCAAGCAATCCTCAAGGAAACTTTGCTAGGCTTATACCAAAACTTGCATCTCCTTTGTCCTGCATGTTCCATTTGTTACAGAGCCACCTCAGACAGCTTAGTTTTACTAAAGCAAAGATGGCTCAAAGTCAAGAAAGAAGAGCAGGTTTTAAAGAAAATATGGAAGTGAACTAGTCCCTCAACTGGAACTTTCCTAGGACAGAATTCCTAAGCTGATAGAAGCAATGGTTTTCCCCTGCTTAAAGATATACCTATGAGAGCTTTCCCTTACAATTTATTGAAAAATATATGGGAGTCAGCCTGGGCTTCTTTTAAAAACTAGAGAGGTTTTTAACAAAATTGAGAAATAAAGCTTGCAGGTTTGGGACACAGGGAGTAGATCTTTTCCTGTTTCCTCTCCTGAAATGTTAAACAAAAAACCAAAGCCTTCCCTTTTGGAGGTTTACTAGAATGTAATATATAGCTCCCTTCTTAGGAAGGGAGGAAAAGTCCAATTTTTAAAAACAGCTGAAAGTATTATTCAAGGTAAGACTATACTTATTCGGAGAAAGCCTTGCTGAACTCTACTTTGAATGAATACGCATCATTGAAAAAAAATATGGAGAGTCTTTTCAAAGATTTCTCAGGACTTTTAGACTTACATTCTCAGGAGTACATTTACAGTTGTCCTTAAAAGGCCACGCAGTTAAGGTCTGTAAGCGATTTCTATATTCATACATTTCTCTGAAATCAAGTAGGTTTTTGGAAGTTGACGTGATTTCTCTCAGGAAAGCCTCCATGTAGGCTATGAATGTTGCAAACTGATATTCTCACCACACTTTCTTTCAAAGTCGCATGCTTGTATGGCTTTTGGCTTCATATTTAAGGCATTTCCTTAGCTGTCTCAATTGATGTCACCTGTTAATCAACCTTTAAAAGTTGGGAGAAAAAAATGGATAAACATGGATAGTTTAATCTATCTAAATCAGTACAATACCTTTTCCTCTTAGAGGTAAATCTCAAAATGTTTAGAATTAAAACACTAATTCAAAAAACAAGTCTGCATTAATATATTAGAAAATGTTAAGTAAAATAAACATTAAAACAATGTCAAAAAATAAAAGCAATAAAATACTTTAATAAAAATGACCAATACAGAAATTGGTTACTTACTGTAAATGACATCTTGGGATTCTCCTTTCCCTTTAATTCTGCAGTAACTACTTGAAACAGGTGCTGCTTTTCTCGCTCCTGTCATGTAAAGCTGCATTTGCCTAAATTCTTGAGAGTTATCAATCCTGGCTGCTCACCACCCTGATAATACAGAACCATTGTTTGCCTGTATCCCTGCTTGAGCTGGCATTGGGACCCAGCTTTTCTGGTGTAAGGGGATGGGCCAAAGTGAGAGAGAAAGGTAGAATATTTTTTGGAGCCTGTGGGCACATATGAATTTTCAAAGCATTTTAATTTTGTTTTCCAAAATGCACTGTATGCCTGCTCTTCTGATCCTAAGTTGTGAACAATCAAACAAAATGACTGTAACTATGCCAACTTATCAGGTTACCCATTTTTCAGAAGGCAAACTGATTCGATCATTTCCCCCTTCCACTCAGGATATTTTCTGCCTTCCACTCCCCCAATATATTTTTGCCTTTTTATTGAGGCTGGTGGGAATGCTTGTAAAGTAGGGCTGCAAACTTCTATATAGACACTAGGTGGCAGCAACAATCCTGCATCTCGTTTCTGCTATCTAGTGGTTGTACATTTTTTGAAGCTGATTTATGGCAGGTTTATATAAACCAAGTCATCACAATTTTTATTTTCTGCAGTGAAGTCAGAGGCATTTTTATAAATAAAGGTGGTCATGTCTGATGCTTTTGTCATTGTATGCCAACATTCTACGTCCCCCCCTCCCCTCCCTCCCTTCTACCCTCTCTTTCAGCATGTTTGTATGTGTAGAATAGTGGACAAATTCCTTGTGTGTCCAATCACACTTGGCCAATAAAGAGTTCTATTCTATTCTATTCTATTCTATTCTATTCTATTCTATTCTATTCTATTCTATTCTATTCCTATTCCCATTCCCATTCCTATCCCATCCCATCCCATCCCATCCTATCCTATCCTATCATGAGAAGCATCCATTGGCCCATTGGTGGCAAGAAGGCATTACATATTGCTTATCCCTACCCCTAGAGATTTGGATTTCAGCAAATATTATGAACACAGAATTGCTATACTTACTATCATTTAGAACATTGGTTCTTAAAATATGATCTTAGGATCCCTGGGACACACACACACCCCCCGCCGCTGCCCCATGACACCCTCAGGGGTCTGCAAAGACAAAATTATTTGCTAGTCTATGTTAAAAAATAATACATTTTTAAAAGCCCATCAAGCAATAGCAGCAGTGAATGGATCAGTTTTAATTTTTAATAGGGTAAACATGAATAAATACAACTCATACAAATAAAAGCCCTTTGGGGGGTCCTTCATAATTTTTTTAAAACAGGAAGGCCTCTTGAGAGAAAAAAGTTTTTTTAAAAAAAATACTGATTTAGAATATGCCACGTTAGAGAAAGATGGATTGGGACATGGCATCTAAAATGAACATAATCTCATACTTGATGCTGTAGAAGTTTACCTAACTAGTAATTTTTTTCTTTTCCACTTTTTCCTTTTTTTCTTGTACCAAAATTATTCCTTATAATTTTTAAAGAGAATTGGAAGTAGAAGGACAGCATTTGAAATTCCATGAATAGTGTGTGTTTTTATTAAAAAACACAAATCAATCATACATATCATGATTTGTAAGAAAAACCATCTCATTATTTTTTTTTTGCCTTCTTGACTTTCTAGATTATTCCCATGGTGCAAGAATTTATCATTAACAACTTGGGCCGTCTATTTATTGAGCCGCCTCCTTTTGATTTAAACAAAGCATTTGGGGACAGCCACTGCTGTGCTCCACTAATTTTTGTGTTGTCCCCGGGTGCAGATCCCATGGCGGCTCTTCTCAAGTTTGCCGATGATCAGGTATGTGGATGACTATTTCATTGAGCTTCTCTGTGGATATGAGGCCTAATACTGGAGTGCTTCCTATTTGCATTGCTTGTTCAGTGGGATGATATACGAGCAAAAAGCTTCAGGGTTGCCGGGAACATCCGTTGAAATAATTTTACAGGCTTGATTTGATTTTCATAGACGAAGCCCAGTGGGTTCATCTCAGAATGTGATAGTATTGTCAGAATGACATAACTGATGTTGCCATGTTTATGTACATGTGTGCAATATCACAGCACCCACGTACAAAAGGGACAGAGCTTGTGCCACAATGCTCATATCGTTATTTGCTCTCTAGGTGAGGTATGCCTTATTATACACGCTGGCATTCAGGGAGCTGTGGAAGGAAGACAATACTGTTCATGTAATTGTTTTTATTCTTTTATGGAATGCATCATGGATAACACATACTAGTTTTTGAATGAATATAGGCTGCACTATTTATGAGCAGTCACTTTTCTGAGTCCTTGGTCCTCTGTATCTATTAAAGTACTAAGAGTATCCTTTATCCACAAGCTTCGGTACATATTAATTTCAGTAGAGGCAATGGATTTCAGTCCCAAGGATTAGTTGATCTGTCAAGCTGGAGACCTGCTGATAGATTAAGAGCCAAACTCTTCCCATTACTTCTCTACTCTGGCAATCAGCTACCCTAAGCTGCAAGAAGAGATGAAAAAGAGGAAAAGCTGGTTTTTAGCCATCAGCTTTCCCAGACATAGAGGTTCTGACATGGCCTTAACCATGCACACCCAGAGAGAATGGAAGCAAACTTTAGCCCTTTAAACTCACCTCCCTTTGTCTGCTCAAAGTAAAGGAAGCAAATTCTCTTGTTTAAAGTTGATCTGTTAAATGATCTGTTAAAACCATAGTAATGCAGTGACAGATGGGCAGCTTTCCTGCTGGCTGGTAATGTTGACAGGGTAGGGCAGCTGCCAAATTGAAGGGTTTTACCAATCTCTTTACTTAATATCTTCTGAAATATGAAATCAAGACACCACCACTCAGCAACTGTCAAGTGTTGTAAGAATTGGTAAGAAGAAGCTACACGAAAGAAGCCTTGGTGAATCTGATTAGTAACCTCTCTCAACTCAATAAAAGAAAGGCAAGGAATGCCTTCTAGAAGATCATTGCCAATTGCATTTGTTTTCACACATGAAACTTAACAACTTGATGTGACTTCAACAAGACTTTCTTTAGGATTCTAAATGTTGACTGCAATCTAACCCTCGCTGTGCTCCTGCAACATTTTATGATTCCCCTCCTCCTTTTTTTTCCCCATGGATGCTTTATATGTACAGGGCTTTGGTGCATCAAAACTCACCTCCCTGTCCCTGGGCCAAGGCCAAGGCCCCATTGCTATGCGCATGATTGAGAAGGCAGTAAAAGAAGGTAGTTGGGTGGTTCTGCAGAACTGCCATCTTGCAACCTCATGGATGCCCACACTGGAGAAAGTCTGTGAGGTGAGTACAAACAGGAGCTTAAACTATGATGACACCTATTTCTTTCTTTCTTTCTTTCTTTTTTGGTGAGCCTAAGGTTCTAGACACTGATGTCATGTAGAAAAACGATGAGGGTAACTCTTAGGCTAATTTTGTGGGTGAAATGGGCAGAACAACGGTAAAGGAGCCAGAGTTGGATAAAGATGACAGTACTCAGATTGGCTCATAAGGAAGGTAGCAGAAAGAGGGTAACAACCGCCAAGTTAAGTGTGACATTATGAACAAAAAGAACATTTGAGTAATCCGTGGATCTTGAAAGTGATGTTGGGAAAAAATTATAACTGAGCTGAAGGCAATAAGATAAAATGCATGAAGCCATGAATAGGAATATGTGGATGAGGTACAAGGCAGGCCTACTAAATCTGGGCTGAACCAATCTACATGACTACTAAATGATAGCGAAATGATACAAAAAACTCCTTTTAATTATTTGTTGAATCTTATTGGAAATTTTGATTTTTCAGCTCATTAGTTAATATAAGGTTGGCTTTTGTGAGAGCATGCAAATATATCTTTGGGTCATCAATAAATAAAAGAATCTTCGCCAATAGGTTGCTTGGCAGACCCAAGAGTGGGCAACTTGGAAGGACTGGAGAAAAATCCTTTATCAATCAGCCTTTCCCCTCCCTATATGGCTTCTTCCCTCTCTGTTTTGCTCACTTGGGTTTCTTCAAGAGGAAATGTTAATGAGCAGGAGTTCTTGGATTTAAGAGGGGAGGGCTGAAGAAGCTAGCAGCTTCCCCTTCTGACTGGATCAGCTAATTCTGCCCAGTGTCTCAGCAAAGGAAATGGTAATGCTATTGCCAACACGTCAAGTTAGCTAATGTTTCTTCCATTTAAGCCTCATCATTTCCATAGCTATTTGAATTTCTGAGCGTGTATTATTCCATGCAGGGTGAAATGGTTGGAGCAATCAGCAAAAAAAAAAAAAAACCCACCAAACAAAGAAACAATAACCCTGAGACATAAATAGTAATTTTTACTTGTTTTGGAGCTTCAGAATTAACTTAATCCTTAAATACTTACCTTGAATAAACTCTTCATAAAATGTAATATTGAGAAAGTACCTTGGGGCTCTAAATATGAGTAGTAGCTTTCATTGAATTCAACTTTCAGCATGTATGCTTAGGTTTGGCCTGCAGGGTGCATTTATTTCTAATATTGAATTAGACTGTATCATCCTGATTTTTTAAACTATGATATATTGGTTTTTAAATCAAATTTTAATAGTTCTGTGAAGATGGGTTTTGAGGGGGTTAAATTAGATGGGCCTAAATGGGCACTGGCTATCTCAGAAGTTCAATTATAGAAGTGCACAGAGAAATATCTGTTAGATTACAATGGTAGCAATTAGTTTTTAAACTGGAGTATATAACCATTATATCAGACATTGATTGATGGATACTACTAAAACATAAATAGATCTAGCACATTTGCCCACATAATATATGGCATAATATCTCAACTGTGCTTGAAAGCAAAGAACAAGTATGGAGAAGCAGTACTTCCATTAAAGGGAAGCAGTTACTGTATCTGGCATTTTCTGCATTTATTGGACTACAGCTATCGTAAACCTCAAACAAGATGGCCTAGGATTATAGGAATAATTTAAAATATCTGGTCAGCATTAAGTTAACAACCTCAGCAATACATGATTTCAGGTTAAACACGAATGCACATCACAATTTTCCTGTTCCCATTTATAAAAACA